GCTGGGATCCAGGGGTTTCCCCCAAAATCCAGAAATTCCAGCAGCTTTTGCTCAGCTGCTTGAGAGGGAGCAATGGGGGAAAGTCAGTGCCCAGCCAAGAGCAGCACTGTGTCCCCCTGGGCACATCACCTCCACACACAGGGCAGGGAGGGCACTCCAGGGACCCCAAATTCACACTGTCCTGGTCCAGCCACTCAACAAAGGACGAGCTGGCTCTGCTCCCAGGCCCAGGATACTCCCTGTATTCAAACAAACCCTGGGGAGGCACCAAAACTCAGCCCCACAGCAGGAACAGAGTGCCAGAGCTAAACCCAGCCCTGCAGTGCCACCTCTGGGGAGCAGCACACTGCAGTGCCAGCTGCACAGTGCCAGGAGAGCCTGGCAGCTCCTCAGTGCCCACCTCCCATCCTGCACCACCCCACAGCACGGCTGCCAGGGCTGGGGCTGAGCAGAGAAACACCAGACACTGCTGGGCCTGGCAGCCTGATGTTTATTTGCCTTGCCAAAGCACACCCTGCCCAAGCAGGAGCCCAAACCCCAATGTGGGGAGGACACCCAGGGGATGCCAAAAGCAGCAAGAAGCTCCCAATGTCCCAGTGCTGCCCTGGCCTCCTCCCAGAGCCAAGGGCTGGTTCTGGGATCAGGGAGGCAAACACCACCAGCAGCAGCAGGTGAGACAGGAAATGTGTGCAGGAAGTGCTGATGAAGGCATGAAACCCCTGGAGAAGGCATGGATGGGGCAGGACAGGCCTGCCAAGGGCCACACATGTTCCCAGGGAAGAGGCTTCAGCACCAGAGTGTGCTCCACACACCATCCTGCCTGGGGAACAGGCTCAGAAGGGCACAGCTGGTGAGCACTCCACCCTGCCAAACCTCCCAGAAGGGTGGGAGAACCCTGACAGGCTGCAATCCCCAAAAGGAGGACAGACAGCTCCTTCCAGCTCAGATCACTTGGTTCACACCTGGGGGATGTGTCTCTCCCTTCTCCCCATGCTGACCAGAACCAGCAGCACATCCTCAAGCCCTCCTCCGGCAGCACATCCCAGGAGGCTGAAACTGTGCTGCAGAGGGGCAGCCCCTCAGAGGATCTGGATGATGCCCAGCAGCCCCTCACAGGATCTGGATGATGCCCAGCAGCCCCTCAGAGGATCTGGATGCCCTGCAGCCCCTCAGAGGATCTGGATGATGCCCAGCAGCCCCTCACAGGATCTGGATGATGCCCTGCAGCCCCTCAGAGGATCTGGATGCCCAGCAGCCCCTCAGAGGATCTGGATGCCCAGCAGCCCCTCAGAGGATGTGGACGATGCCCAGCAGCCCCTCAGAGGATGTGGATGCCCAGCTCCTCAGCTGTTTTCTNAGCAGTATAGATGATATTTTTGCTGTGACAAGGGGAGAGAATGATGCATCTGACTCCACCTTATCAGAAGGCTAATTAATGACTTTATTATACTGTCTTATTCTATATTGTATTGCACTATGTTACATTACAGCTAAACTGCACTGAATCTTGTGAGTGTCAGCCCACAGTCCTGACACACACACACCCTGACAGGCCAAGGAACCAAAACACCATCACTGTGGGTAAACAATCTCCATATTGCATTCTGCTTTGGCACAAACACAGGCACAGCAAATGAGATAAGAATGGTTTTGATCATTCTCTGAGGTTCAGAGAATGTGAAACCCAGGAATATTCTTGGGAAGAACTGTGCCTTGCTTTTCTCTGTGAAGAGAAATCTGGTAACATGTCACGGTCACATTTTCTGAAAAATCCCTTTGCCAGGCTTTCTTCTCCAGGGAAGCTAAGAAGCCTCAGAGAAAAACGAAAACAATAATTATCTGATTGCTCCTCCTGTGTTTGGCTGCTTTGGAATGTGGTCTGGAGATTTTTTTATCCAACTGGTCACTGATTGGCCATTAAGTAAAAATAATTAACATGAAACCAATCACAGCCAGCTGTGTCAGACTCTGAGGAGTCAGTCATGAATTTTTATTATTCATTCTTATTAAGGCTTCTGTCTGTATCCTTTACCCTTTTTTAGTATAGTTTTAGTATAGCATATAAATAATATAAATATAATATATATAATGTAACATAATGTAATGTAATATAATACCATGTAATATACAATGTAATGTAATGCAATACAATGTAATGTAATGCAATACAATGTAATGTAATGTAATATAATACAATATATCAGCCTTCTGAGAACATGGAGTCAGTCACAAATTTTTATTATTCATTCTTGTTAAGCCTTCTGTCTGTATCCTTGCTCTTTCTTTAGTATAGTTCTAGTATAGCATAATATAATGCAATGCAATGTAATATAATGTAACATAATGTAATATAATGTAATGCAATGTAATATAATGTAACATAATGTAACATAATGTAACATAATGTAATGTAATGTAATTAACATAATATATGTGTAATATAATGTAATGTAATAATGTATAATCATGTATATATAATAATGTATACATACACATTAATACATATATTAATGCATATATAAATATATAAAATGTGTATTATATAAAAATTAATGTAGATTATCAATATATAAATACATATTGATATATAATTAATATATAATATTAATTATAGATTATATAATTATATGTTAATTATATGTTAATTATATGTTAATGATATGTTAATTATATATTAGTATATTATGGATATATAATGTATAACGTGATAATATATATTATAATATATAATAATGTATAATATAATGTACTGTAATATAACGTAATATAATGCAATGTAATGTAATATAATGTAATATAATTAATATAATGCAATATAATGTAATATAATATAAGATAATACCATGAGTATAATACAACACATCAGCCCCCGAGCACATGGAGTGAGACTCCCTCCTGTCCCAGCCCCTCCTGGGCTCCCCCACAGCGCCCCCATCCCCGGCCCTCACCTCGCAGTACTCCCAGAGGCACAGGAAGCTCTCCTGGATCTCGGGGATGATGTTGTGGCTCTGGAAGTCCAGCTGGCAGTGGCTGAGCTCTGCCTGGCCCTGCAGGGCCCTCAGCCCCCACTGCTTCAGCTTGGTGTGGTAGCAGTGGAAGTAAACGTGGCGCACCAGCTCGGCCGAGCTCGCCGGGGAGCAGAAACCACAGTCCTGCCACAGGCACGTGTACTCCTCTGCA